CAGGGCATTTTCTTGATTAAAGATTGGTGTGGGAGGGCCCAGCCTGTTGGGGGAGCTACCACCTGTGGCCCTGAGCAGTACAAGAAAGCAGGCTGAGCAAGTCCTGGGGAGCTAGTCAGCAAGCAGTGTTCCTCTATGACCTCTGCCTCAGTTGTGGCCTCCAGGTTCCCGTCTTGAGTTCCTGACCTGACTTCTCTCGGAGATGAATTGTTACAGCTGAAATAAACCCTTTCCTCCCCGAGTGGCTTTTAGTCGCGGTATTTACTATAGCAATAGAAACCTAAGATAATGATCTTCAAAAACTAAGGGACTGGTCTTCAAAATAAAAAAGGAACAAGGCTCAAGGGCTGAGCTCCCCATGCGCTCTACACTAAGTCAGATCGATTGGGAGGGGTGGGCAAAGATTAATGACCCGGAACCTGGTTTTCCAGCAAGCCCAGGCGTCTTGACTTGAGCCGCTGACTCGGTTTTGGAGCCCGGGAAGCACAAGATCGAGTTGCTGACAGAGCTGGTTTCTGATGAAGGTTCCACCTCTGCCTCATAGATGGTAGCTTGTTGCTGCACCCTCAAAGAGCAGGAGGATCCGGTGGGGCTCACCTTCCTTCCAAGGCCAGCCCACCCTCATGATGAGTGACTAGCCCCCCAAATGCCTGCCTCTTATGCTATCACCTTGACCCCTAGTTTCATCCTCTGAAGTTTGAATTCTAGGGGAACATTTAGAGCACGGTACCATGTTTGTGTTTTCGCTGGCTGTGTCCGGCTTAGTGGCCACAGGTTATTTTGTGGGACACCTGTCCAGGTGTCCCGCTATCTGCTGCATCACTGAGGGTCTGTGCTGTTGTTCACTTGGTGCATTTTCATTTTCCTGACTCTGGGGGTTGGATCCCGAGCCCTGTATCTGCTGTGGAAGTGTTCTACCATTGAGCCGCATCCCACTCCGCATCCTTGGTTTTCTTCACAGGCTCTGAAGGATGCCCCTTTACATCTCTGGGTGCCTTTCCTAGTCTGACAGAGAAAAGGATAACAGCCTCAAGGCAGTTCTCACTTTCTACTTGGATTTGATGGGACTCTCAAATTGAGAGAGAGGGAAAAAGCCAACAACAGCAAAACCAACCAACCAACCAAATAAACAACAACAGCAACAAAAATACCCAGAATGCCTCAGCTTCTCCTAAGGGGAGTCACACATCTGCTGTGCTGGGCTCACTGACTTGATGAAAAGTACTACACTTAGATGGATGTCTTTGTGCTCAGTTCCTTATGGAGTCTTGTGGTGGAACATGCCCCTTACTGGTACATTATTGTGCAGGACTATGAAAATAGAACCGCTAATCGAAGCCTCGCGTTTCCCCCAGGAAACCTGCATCTGGGCCTTTGGCGCCTCTTTCCTGCCCCAGCCCTCTCTGAACAGCCCTGAGCCCATATGCTTTCATTATTACTCACAGAAACACTTAGTTGTAAAGGAACTGAAAAAGCAGTGGTTAGACCTGTCTGCCTGGCTTTCTGTGTATTTGGCTATTGCCAAGGGACTAGAGGGCTTTTAGTGGGAGATGAAAGGCTTCCTCCATGGGCTGGGCTGGTCCAGCACCATTCTCCTTCCTCTGGGACTCCCTGTTGGAGAGATGGACCCTTCACATCAAAAGTCAGTGGGAAAGCTTCTCCCTCAGCTGCAGCTGGGAAGTTGCTCTTTTCTGAGGAAGCCTGAGAACAAAGAGAACCCTACCCACCGAGAGAAGGAGCTGAGGAGAACGTTTCTAAGGAGGATGCTTTAACCCTGTGCTTCCATTTTTAGTTACACATGGGTATCTCTGCAGAGTCCATACAAGTATTTTCCAGAGCAGCAGTGGACATTTAGGCAGATTTGGGGATTGTTTCATCTGTGACTGGGAAGATTTATTTCCTTTAGTATTTTACCAAATCTTACAAAAGGACTAAGAAACACTTCCGTATGGAAGGAGGACAAAGAGCATGTAATCCTTGAGTGATAAAGAGACAACCAGCAAGAAAAATGAGGAAATTATTCCACATTACTTTAACAGAACTCTGGTAACTTTGGGCTAGTATCATGGTAGAGGATTTTTATTTTAATTTACTTTTACTTACAGCCCTGAGAGTGAAGGATGGTGTTCTGTCAATCTGATTCCGGTCCAGGAATGACTCTACACATGTTTCATTTCATGAGACAGTGGCTCCATGCCCTAGCACTCTCTGTGGCTACCTGTGGCAGCCTGTGGCCCTGGGTCGTAGTGGATCTGACTGTAGCTGATACGCTACAGTTCTGGGCACGCACACAAGCGCTTCCGTAATAAGGCTGCTTTTAATTCAAATATCTATTTTTATGAACTTCAAAATAGAAACAAAACTTGCAAAATAGAAAATATCACACACCAAGACTAACCAGACCCAAAGTCTGTATATCTCAATGAACTTTAATCTGTTTGAATGTCCATTCTGAAGTGGTGGAGCTCCACACTGGATTCTACACCTTCACTATCAAATATGTTATTATTCACTTACTCACCTCTAACACCGAAATTCTATGACCCAGTTGGAACTAGGAAAGTCAATTAGTATTAAAAATCTGTGCAGTTTATTCTAATGGTAGCATTGATTAAACTTTCAATGAATAGCACTAAACTCTTGTTTAACTCCATAATCTCGCCTTTTCCAAATTGATTTGGTTTTTATTGATGTGATACGTTTCCTTAGTACCTCTGTCCTTGAATTGTATTAACTTGCCCTTGTGATCTCTTGAGTTAATCATAATTGAAGAAATACCCTGGAACTGTATCAGTATTCCAGTTTCAGTAATGGGGGCTTATCAAGAGAGAACTCGGAGAACATTCTTAGACTTACATGGAGAAGCATGGTCAGACTTCGCAGACTTAGCAGAATTCCTGTCCCAGGGTAGTTCACTGTTTTGCACAAAGAGTAATATTTTGATTTTCCTTTTCTCCCCTTGTAAAACTGTAAGAAACTTCTGGAAAACCTGTTGATCCTGAATCAGCAGCCCACTAGCCTTGTATAAAATAAATCAACAAAGCTAATCTTAAGCTTTTTTCAAATATCTATTTTAAAAGATAAGTTTTTTTTTTCCAAATATTGGTTGCATACCTTCATCCTCCATTTTTCCATACCTGTGTCTTTTTTTTTTTTTTTTTTTTTTTGGATTTTCGAGTCAGGGTTTCTCTGCGTAGCTTTGCGCCTTTTCCTGGAGCTCACTTGGTAGTCCAGGCTGGCCTTGAACTCACAGAGATCCGCCTGGCTCTGCCTCCCGAGTGCTGGGGTTAAAGGCGTGCGCCACCACTGCCCGGCCCATACCTGTGTCTTAAAGTCACACAGCTTTCAGTTATTTGATATTTACAGAAATATATTCCCTATTGGCTATGTTTTGTCTAGCAACTTCTTGTGTTCTTGCACATTACTGAACATTCTGTGTCTTAAAGATTTTTTTTATTTCTATTACATTTGGAACAAAATCCCCAGTGAAAATAACGAGAAATCTGTGATGGAGCAGGCTTAGCAAGAACCCACTGCCATATATGGCAGAAGGACTCTCCCCTCATTCTTATCAAGGCTGTGCTCCCAGGGGCCAGCTGCTCACAGTCTCAGTGTCCTCCCTCATGGAGGAGCAGCTGGGTGGCCAACAAGTTCTAGGCATTTGCTGCCTTTTAAGGATGTCAGTCATGTCTGTACACCCATGACTTTTTCTCGTTGTCTCTCTTTTCAGTCTCCTCTCTCTCTCTCTCTCTCTCTCTCTCTCTCTCTCTCTCTCTCTCTCTCTCTCTCCCAGTTCCTTCATTCTTTCCTCTTTTACTTTTATTTAACACTAAACCTGTACAAATAAGCTGCAGATCTCATCTATAGCATGGAACTGGGTTTTATTTTGTAATATAACTTGAAAATAGTTTTGCTTTTAGAAGTTACTTAAGCTGCCTTACACAAAAGGATTCATGCCGGGCAGTGGTGGCCCACGCCTTTAATCCCAGCACTCGGGAGGCAGAGGCAAGCGGATCTCTGTGAGTTCGAGGCCAGCCTGGTCTCCAAAGCGAGTTCCAGGAAAGGCGCAAAGCTACACAGAGAAACCCTGTCTCAAAAAACAAACAAACAAACAAACAAACAAACAAAAACAAAAGGATTCATTTATATGTGTCTGTCTGTCTGTCTGTCTGAGTGTACGAACACGTGTGTGTATGCATCTGTGCTTGCATGGAGGCCAGAAGAAGCTATCAGGTCCTTCAGAGCCAGAGTTACAGGTGCTTGTGGGATGCTTGGCTCATGTGGGTGCTGGGGTCGGAACTCTGGTCCTTATCTTTGTGCAGCAAGTGTTGTTAATAGCTGAGCCATCTTTCTGGGCCCTGTAAGCTCCCCTTTAAGTGTACATTAGTTCAACTTTCTAGGTAGAACATCTATACATTTGCATGTATTATTTGAAGGATTTTGCAGATGCTCTACTTTGTGTAAGTGAAGGGAAAGCCAGTCCCAAATAGGTAAAGCTACCTTAGGTTTTGAGTTTTACATTGGGAAATGTTGTGATTTCCCCTCCATACAAATGACGAAAGCAGTCCTGACTAAATATTTTGTTGTGATTTTTAACTTGGATTTGAAATGAAAATAGAACTCAAGTTTTGCTTAGACAAGGGTAAGTGTTAGTAAAGTCAGATGAGCTTCCATCTTGGACAGCAAGTTTATTCTCTGGGGTAATCCATTCTTGTGCTTACTCCGGTTCAGCACTTTCTTGTGAGTATTGATAGAACCGCTTGTGGAATCAACAGTTGGCCGAGCCCGGCTTTGCGTTCCAACAGCGTGAAGATAAGAAGTAGCACCCCTCACTTCAGACGTCCTGTCTAGTGTGGTCCATGAGAATGACTAAAGACAGGGCTCTCCCCACTCCACCTCCCGGGACGCCTCATTCTCCTCTGAGTTAATCTGGGGTCTTCGGGATTTTTCCTTTTTTTTGAATGATGTGACTGAATCCGATTGTGCTTTTTCTCATGCAGGGCAGCCACTGATCACAATGTGGACAATACAACGGAAATACTCAGGGAGTGGCTGAAAAACGTGCAGAGACAGTATCACTATGTGGAGTGGAGGCCTATGGACGAACCAGAGTGAGTCTCAGGAGAGCTGAGCAAGCTCCGCTTCCTCAGCACTGGTTTTCCAGCCCCCGGGCTTCCGATCTTGGGGGCACATGCGCATTTCTATTGTCATCTTTCTGCATCTGAGTTGCAGCCTGGGCCTTTTCCGCTATTAGCAGATCTTCACAACCCCCTCTTCCTCTTTACTCCTGGGCTGACAACCAAGCTAAGGTTTTCAGCAGCTCATAGATTATGGTGATGGTGTATATTTAAAATAGTAGTTTATTTATTGCTTTTTTTTTTTTTAAGTGTGAGCTGTTTTAAGAAATCATGGCAAAAGTTTGTATGTCTTCCATACATACCTTACTTTTTAAAGTTATGTCTTGAAGATTATTGTATAGCAAGCATCGAGGCCCTTCCTCACTTTGAACTGCATAGTATCTGTCATATATATCATGATTATTTAACCAATGCTCTCATGATTGACATATAGTCTGTTTCGGTCTTAACACAGCAATTTCTTGGTCACTTCCATCTCCAAGTCATCCCACATATTTATAATAGTCTCTACTCTCTTGAGAAAGAACACAAGTAGGAAAAATGTCCTAGTATATACAAAGAATATTATGTATGTGGTGATTTTTTTAGTCTGGTTTATGGGCTGGAGACTAGATAACCTGACAATGTTTGTCTGTCTGCATGGTCAATGACCAGAGAAACCAGGAGCTTCTCAGTCTGTGAAGTTGGAAGCTTTAGGACAAGAGAAATGAACTACAGCCCCGGCTAAAGGCCTGGGAGCAGCTGGCCAGCTGTTCACAGCTGCAGGGAGAGGTGGAAGAGCCAAAGGCTGAGTTCTGTGGTGGCAGGGGTACAGCGCTTGCTCAGGGACGGCAGAGCCTCCACGTACCATCTGGCTCTCTCCTTTTTCTACCTTTGCTCCACATGGGCCTCTGAGGTCTATTCCAGTGCTGCCCACATTCCGGGTGGGTCTTAACTGTCGATTGTGGTTCCATGAGCCGATTATCTCTGGAAACACACACACAGACACACCTCCAAGTGTACTCTACTAATCCACTCGAGTTGGTCATCAGGATCAGCTATCATAGTGTCAGAGAGAAGTCTTCCTAAAATACAAATGAAATAACTTCATTTCTTTACTACAAAGACTTAGGAACATACAGAAAAAAGTTCTAACACCTGAGACATGCATCCGAGATTCCCATATTTCTTGTTCCTCCGCATAGAAAATATGCTTTATCCAAAGTGCCAAGTTTATTTCCAACTCCCACCTCCTACTGAGGCAGGTCCTAAAAGTGATTTTTCTCTCTTTGTAACCAATTCTGATCCCAAATCACAGGTACTAGAGAAAGTGGGAGTTTTTTTTTTTAAGTGTGTAGATCTTACTTTTACTTAGATTGCTTATTTTCTATGCTATCCTTTTGACATAATACATTGAGCTAGCCTTAATAACTACAATTTGTCCAAGCTTTTTGAAATTAACTGTGAGCTTTTGGCAGGGGGTGCAATATGCAAACACTTTATATTTTCCTTCGTTGCGGTATTTTTAGCAGGCACCAAATCAAAACTTGCTGGACAAATGATTGAAGAAAATAAAGAATAAATGTATTTAAAACATAAAATTGTAAATGTCCCCAAGACCAATGTGATTCCAACTTGAGGATTTATGGAAGTTGAATGAATAAGTAGTCTGGGTTTCTGCACAAGAAAAGCCATTTATTGAAAGCCAAATGTGTATAGTAATAATAGCAAATGTCATTACAGAGCAAATGTATTCTTATAGACTCTGTTATATGCACGTACAAACACACACTGAAGACATACGTGTACATATGACATCTAAAATCCAAGTCCATGCTCTACATACTAGGCAAATTTGTCAATTAAATTTGAACACTGTAAAAGATTTTAAACAGTGCTTTGGTATTTCTTGTGATGAAATTTAGCCTAAATTTAAAAAATTACACAGGTAGATTTTATGTCCCTACTTCGCTTCCCAGATAGTTCTCTGTAGCCAGATTTTTTACTTTATAGATTATATGCCAAGGTCAGTGTGGAAAAATATTCCATAAGGCATTATTTTTGGCAATATATTCAGAAAAAACAGGAATTCCACTAATTTCCACTGGAATAGTAACTGAGGAAGACATTCCAGAGACTGTCTTCCTGGGTTGTATGTAGTTTGTTAGTTATATAACGTTATTTGTATAGTGACAGTCTCAGTGTTGGTGACTTTCCATTCATTAAGGCAAACATATGCCCACACACCTCCAAGAACTTGAAGTGCCGGCCAGCCGGAGTGACAAAATCCATATCCATCTCAGCTGAGCGCTTTCAGATGCATCTAGAGCATTCACTGAACCATTTGCTTTTGTGGCCATTTAAGAGTCTTGGTCTAGCTTTCTTATGAGTGTCAACAGAAATCTCTAGAACATTATGTGCCTGCTCCATCCCCTCACCTCACATAAGGCAGATCAATTAAGCTTCATTGAACCGTTTACTGAGATTCCAGCAAGTAATATAAACCTTTGATTTTCTTAAGAAACTCATACTTTTGCCCTCTATTTTCACATTTATTTGATAGGACATATTAAATATCAAAGAATATAAGCTTTGGGTAGTAACTGCCCTGATATGAATTCTGGTAGTGCCACTTACTGTAACATTAACCACTCTACATCAGTATTGCCATTGTTGAAATGGAGAAAATACTAAGATTACTACATAAGGCACTTAAATCCCACAGAAAATAAGCCAGGCACAGTAGTGTTGACATACATTATATTTAGAAGGCTGAAGCAGGAGGATACTTAAATTTAGGAATTCAAGATCAGCCTCGGCAATAGTGAGACTTCATCTCAAGGAAGAGAAGGAGGACAAAGAGAAAGGGAAGGAAGACCCACTGGTGTCTTTCAGATAAAGACTCTTGATTGCTTCATTTGCCAATGTTCCAGTTTGCGTGTCTGTGGTATGGAAATGATGATGATACCAGTCTCCTGTTCCTGGTTCCAGTAGTGATGGTGGAAGAAGTCAGTGCACACCAACACTGAGGTTGAGCAACGCTCGTGCAGGCGCTCAGTGACTATAAGTTCTTCTTTTAGGTCTTACCCTGATGAAATTGGACCAAAGCACTGGCCAAGCTCCCGGTTTGCCCACGTCATGAAACTACGACAGGCAGCTCTTCGAACTGCGAGGGAAAAATGGTCAGACTACATCCTGGTAAAGACAGATGCTTGATTCCCTGACAACTGTTCTCCAAAATGTATCAATAACCAAGAAGTGGTACCCAGAGACCACTCAAAACACACTTTTGTTTAGGCATTACCTTCCCCGTGAAAGGTTCAAGGGAAATTTTTGGTGATTAAATATTATAATACCTGGACTTCATCTCAGCTCCCCTTTGGAATGATTTTTCAGTGAATTATGTGAACTTCTTGCTTCATATCACAGGCAATAAGAAACTCTGAGTCATTTCAGTAGGTGAAGCAAGATTAAATGTCTTAATGACTTTTGTAAGAATTTTAAAGAAATAAAAAAATGATTATAGAAAATGAGATTGAAATGAACACGTCTGAAACTCTGCCCCCCTTTATCCGTGGGGTGATTTGGGCACTGGAATCTCCTGTTTTCCTGGACACCACCTGGTTCTCACACAGCATTTCTTTCCTTGAGAGGGTTCCATCACAGTCCTGAGAGCTTGCAGAGTGGTTCAAACAAATGCTGGGCTTGGGTGATTAGGAGTCTGTGCACCCTCATCCTTGATGAGCCCTCTCAGTTGGAAAGGATGTCTGCTGCATGGGAGAAAGGAGCCACCATCCCTTTTCCCAGACCGAAGCTTTTTCTCCATGAGTTTGTTGAGCACGTTTTCCACTGTGACATTAGAAATGATGCCAACATTATCATATTACACTTAAGGGTATCTGCTTTCACAAGACTCCGGTTCTCATAGGAAATGAATGTTTCTAATCTATGCCACTCCCTGGTCCCTTGTTCACTCAAAAATCAGCTTGAGAATGTTTTAGGAACATTGTCAACACATGTAACTTCATAGTAAATTTTATGTACTATAATATTTAATGTTATATGTAAAAATGTTATGAAAATCTACAAATGCTAAACTATATATTTTTTCATAAACAAATTGATTGACATAAATGTTTCTGATTATTTGTAAATTGTAATTACATAAAATGTAAAATCTGTTCTTTTGGCTTTATTAAAGCACACATTTCTCTTTGATAGAATCTGATTTTGTCTCTATAAATGAATCAGTGCTGACATGAATTTTCTGCTGAGAAGCATGATACTTGGTTGCATGGGTTGATAAAATGTAATTTAAACAAACTGTTTGTGACGTTGTAGTCGCACTGGGGGTATGTTATGGGCCATTTTGACACTACTGTTGAAAACCTAAACAGGTCTACCCCTGGGCACTGAGAGTGAGCACCAGGTATATATTTGCACGAGTCTGTAGGAGCTTAGGAACCGTTAACATCTGGAGCTTAAATCACTTCCCAGTGTGTAAATTGTGTCCTGTTGATTGTATATGTATCCATTGTGGCAATAGCTTAGTGCTCAACATGGGAAGTTAGACCGAGGGCATTTGACTGAATGAACGCTGCCAAGCTGCACTGGTTCTCACTAAGGAGGATAGCGCTAAGAACTGACACCAGATCTCATGGCTTGAGTTATTAAGCCCTGAGTCATTGACTTTGTCTTTCTCTTTTCCTAGTTCATAGATGTCGACAATTTCCTGACTAATCCACAGACCCTGACCCTAATGATTGCAGAAAACAAAACCATTGTGGCCCCCATGCTGGAGTCCCGAGGCCTCTACTCTAACTTCTGGTGTGGGATCACACCTCAGGCAAGTCTTTTGGTTCACAAATTGAGGATATGAGTGTCCACGAGGCAGGACAGGTCAATAGTAGTCCCCCTTTCTCATCTCCTCTTTAGAGACATGTGCGTCCCAGTGTCACTGAAGAAAGGGGTAAACCTACATCAAATGCCACAACCCAGTGGGCATTATTATCAACCAAATATTCTAAAGAGCTCAGTGCTAGAAGCTTCAGTTAATCAATAAGTATAACAGATTTTGTTTTCCCTTTTATCCAATTTGGGGATTAATTAACTTGTTGGGTCCCGTCCCCCCCCCCCAGATTAAAATATCAATATAAAAGCTCATCAGAAAAAACTTAGAAGTACAAAAAAATATTTTTAAAAAGTAGAACAGCCAAAAATATTCATCCCACCACTGTACCAGCACCACAGATAAACACTTGCATTTCTTTAATGACTGTATCACGATCAAAGGCTATCTGTAATTTAAACTGTAACTTAAACTTCCTCTTAGTTCAACATTCAGGTTGTTTTCCAACATCTTAACAATTACAATTACCGTCATCGTTGATGCAAATTTTTTGTATCTACATATGATTTCCTTAAGATAATTTCTTGGAACTTGTCTTAGTTACTGTTCAATTGCTATGAGAAGACACAAATATTGCTATAAGTTGACCAAGCAACTTAAAAGAAAGCATCTGATTGGGGGCTTGCTTATGGTTTCAAAGGGTTAGTCCATGATCATCATGGCAGGGAACAGAGCAGCAGGCAGGCATGGTGCTGGAGCAGTAGCTGAGAGCTCACATGATCCATGAGACAGATAGACAGAGAGACGGGGAAGGGGGAGAGACAGAGACAGAGAGAGACAGAGAGAGAGGTTCAAGGCCAGTTGAGCATGGTGGTGAATGTTTATAACCCCAGAATTTTGGAAATAGGGGAAGAAGGGTCAGTAATTCACAGCCATCCTCAACTACATAAGGAAGTTAGAGCCTAGGCTATGTGAAATTTTGTTTCAAATAATCAGAACAGAAACAGAAAACAAGAATTCAAGGCTAATTTAAACCACTTTATAAGACCTTGTCTCAGACAACAGGGATGCTCCCCAGAACTGTAAGGGCTGACATGACTTTTTTTGCTTTTACATATTTTAATCTACCAACATCTCAAATGGCTTGCAAAATTGCTGAAAAATGTAATAACCAGTGGCCCCGGCCTAGCACAAGCCCAGGAATTCCTCTTTGGTTGTGATTATATTCCCTGGCTCTAAGAGATTTTGAAGGACCCTTGCTATCCACTCATCTTTAAAGGAGACAGCAAGTTGATATGTAGAAAGTTTATTCGGTTTCTTTGGAGAAAACATATTAAGTTAGCATAAACTCTCCATTAACAATCTTCAATGCTCCACGTGGCAAGGCCACTTAAGGCTTGTTTTTAGTGAGTTCTGCTCTGCCACCAGCGACAGCAATGGGAGGAGGTTGCCCCAGCGACTGCAGCTTCCAAGTTGTTCTTAGTTCCTTATTAAAAGTGAGTAGGAGGAATGTGCTCATTTATTTTGCAGAGGAAAAACTCAATTCTGTGCAACCTGGGCCAATTATAATCATCCTCATCTGTTTTTGGCTTTCTTCCACCCTAGTCCATTTTCAACTTGGACAGGAACGGAAATGGCCAATGACTTCATAAGCTCAAGGCAGCCCTGCTTTCCAGAGCCTTTAAACACATCCAAAACAAAGCCATCTTGGTGTTGCCTGGCTAATGAACAGGACCTATGATCAATAAACTTCAGTTCTTTTGAAAGAATGATACAACTATTGTGTCCACCTCTCTTTGGGAAGTATGTTAATTCTTTTCCTCTGCTTCCTTTCCTACCATCCTCTCTCTCAGGATACTCAATGACTCACAGTCCTCCTAAAATTTCCAAGTTTCTCATCCTAATGGTATTAGCTTGAGTCTGTAGGGAGCCCTTTGAAAAGCCAATGTCCCCATTATCCCTTAAAGAACTCACATAGGCTGAAGCGTTAGGCAAAGCCAGTGCTCTAAGATTAAAAAGCTGGCAAGTGGTTAGGATGATTGTAAGACTCACATCTTCCTAGTCTCAGTTTATGGCCCTTTGACCTTATCATATGGGGTGTTGGGGTTAGTAACTCAGCTAACTTCTACACACTGAAAGTTTATCACAGGAGTAGAAGACGATGTGGTGCCTGTTGCATGGTGCTGACGTCACAACCAGAAAGGCACCATGATGGAGTAGGAGTGCTTAAAGAAGACATAGAAACTTGTGGGTCCAATGAGCGTTGTGTGCTTCACAATGGTAGTCTTGTGAAACTTTCCAGTTGACCCACTGAGCCTCCATTTCCTTACGACACATTCTGTGAATGCCTTTCAAAGCTTCCCCATACTTGATTTAGTAAGATATATTGTCATTCTTCTTGGAACGTTTTCATGGTCTTTATGTCTAGTATCACTGGAGTAGATATCCTTTACAAGGCTCTACACCCCACAAGGACAATCCCACACCATCTCACTTATTAACTTGCCATCATTTATCTCAGTGCCTGGATTACAGCAGGCACTCCATGGGTATTGGTTGAATGAAATTAAACTTGGATGGAAAAACAAAGTGAGTCACACCAAGGTTCTTGAAAACCACGAAGTGAGAGGATGGGTCGTCCCATGTTTTCGTACAGGAGGAAGTGTTAAAGCAGGAGTAGGGGGAATTCCCTCCAAAGTGTGAAGCAGTTGAAATTTCACTGAAATATCAAGCCAGAAACTGCACTGAAAAAGTCCCAGTTGTATATATGGAAATAATGTATGTTTCAAAAATGTTAGTCAACTGTAACATAGTCATTTCAATGCTAGCCAATAATGGTTGATGCTTTCTCTCTTTTAAGTAATTTTTATTTTATGTACGTTGCATTTATGTTTTGCTCATATGTTTTGCTCACCCTCTGTGTGAGGGTGTCAGATCCCCTGGAACTGGAGTTACAGGCAAGTGTGAGCTGCCATGTGGATTCTGGGAATTGACCCTGGGGTCATCTGGAAGAGAAGCCAGTGCTCTTTTGTTTTGTTTTGTTTTTTGTTTTTTGAGACAGGGTTTCTCTGTGTAGCTTTGCGCCTTTCCTGGAACTTGCTTTGGAGACCAGGCTGGCCTCGAACTCACAAAGATCTGCCTGCCTCTGCCTCCCAAGTGCTGGCATTAAAGGCGTGCGCCACCACCTCCCCGGTGCCAGTGCTCTTAATCACTGAGACATCTCTGCAGCCCCAGTTAATGCTTTCTTGATGCTGGACATTATTCTAAGTACTTCAGAGTTTCACCTTACTTAACTGTATGGTGTAAAAACCTTTGGGGTAGATAATATTGACTGTCCCTGTTTCAGAGCTGAGGGGAAGGCATAGCAAGGTGGACACACCTATAAACAATAAGAAGCTGAGGCTGAGTTCAAGGGCCAGAAGACAGGTTCATACTTGTCTGCTCTACCCACTTTTGTATTAATATTAATCCTTTACACTTCATCGTAAGCCTACATGTACTACACTTTGTGAAATCATTAAATCAACAGAAATGGAATGAAAATGGTTCCCTATAACAAACCCCTCTGTGTTTTAAACTCAGATTCATTTCTGGAGCTCATTTAGAGATTCTTAGTTCAGGATAAGGAGAGTGAGATGCTCTGGAGGTTTCTACTGACCTGTGATGGCAGATGATTGGATGACAATGCTTTCAGTTGACGGAACAGTCGTCTATTTGCTCTCTTCCAGGGCTTCTATAAGCGGACACCAGACTACCTTCAGATTAGAGAATGGAAGAGGATGGGCTGCTTCCCTGTCCCTATGGTCCACTCCACCTTCCTGATTGACCTCAGGAAAGAGGCCTCCAACAAGCTGGCTTTCTACCCCCCACACCAGGACTACACCTGGACCTTTGATGACATCATCGTTTTTGCCTTCTCCAGCAGGCAAGCAGGTACTGTTTGTGCTTGGCTGTAGGTTGCCATGGAAACACTGCATGTTCCTGTGTCCTGTGTGTATTTAAAAACACCTCAATCTCAATTTCAAGTTTGCTAGAGGCAATGAACCATTTGTAGTAACCATGCCTCTGTGGTGTTGTCCCTGGGCACCAAAGGTCAAGATCAGGGGCAGGCTCCACAGAGGACTCCACTGCCTTTTGGGAAGGATCTGAGTTGATGGGGAGGCAGTCATGATGAGAGTCTTGAAAATCTCACTGGCTCTCTAGAGATAACGGTATGGCTATTGCTAAATACAAGAATCCTGTTATTAAATTGGAACCTAGAACAATACTGGTGAAGTCTCCAGTCTTCACAAATGGAACTATTTCTTCTCAGGAATAACCTGTGCCGCTATAGTGGCTCTGTCCCACAGCTCTTAGCAGCCCAGATTCCATCTTCACAATCTCTTCCTACTTCAGGAGGCATTGCCCTTAACTATAGGATCCAAGGAACCTCATCACCAAGGATGCACCATACATTAAGGCAGAAGCTGGACTATAGGACTCCGCCCTTCTCAGAGCACAGTCCAGAAGTTGAACACAGTACTTCCATGCATATCCCCTTGCCAGAACCTAGCAAGAGGTCACTTCCTAACTGGGAGGGAGGCTCAGAATGCCATCTTTATTCTGTGTGATCATAAACCCCAACTCTCTCACTCTTGAGAACAGATATTGGAAGTAGCAATCTCAGCCTCCATCTCTGTGGAAGGAGATGTGAAGCCAGACTTAGGTATCCGGTGAGTCACCACGGCCACTGGATTTTAGGGGCTTCTTGACAAAGCCAAGGCAACAGGAAGGCAAGGTGTTTTGTTTTTCTTTCTTCTTTTTCTCTTTTTCCTTCCCCCTATTCGCTTGGGGAGACTAATGCACAAAAACAGTTCAGGAAGATTCATGACTTTACCAGGGCAAAGCTTTCTTAAGTACCTCAGGCCTTCCTGACTGCAGCCAGGGCCCATTACAATGGGTCATTTAGCCTCTAACAAAATGAGTTTAGAAACCAAGAGGATGGTGAGATAAATTCATGATGGCTACCTAAGTTATAGTGGAAACGATTTTGCAAAGATCCCTGGTGTTAGGCCCAGAAGAGGGATGCAGACTATCCTGGAGCTTTTCATCTTTGCTGCTTATATGGCCAGCTCACCAGGACTTTATACATTATGTGTCAGGCTTCCCATGTGGCTAGGGATTGGACTTCTGTGTCATGGCCACAAGACTCTCCTCTGTACTAGCCAGGCATCTTCCAAATAATCCACTATGAGCCAAATAAGTTATGTGAGTGGTGGTCAGGCCAATTTACCTCTAGGGCATCAGTTGTGGTAGTCACAAATCTGGTGTAGGGATGGCAGTCCCAAGGGCTAATAGCCTTGAGACTAAGCTGTAAGCTCCAGGTGGAGAGAAAGAAGTTGGAACTGTCCCTTGAGGACAAAGATTTGGTACTAATGACTTACTGTGTGACCCTGGACCAGTCAGAGCCTGAGTCCAATTTTTCATCATAAAGAAAGAGATTATTTATCAATCTTCATTATTCAGGTATATGTGAGCTTGGGAAGGGGGTTGGTGTCATCATAAGGAAAACAAAGCACTTTCCTCATAACACTTCCCCCTCCTTCCCAAAGATTCACCAGAAACTATTACTACAAGATACTCTCAGAGACCTTACTATTGGCATATCTCCTTTTTTTTGTTTTTGTTTTTATCATATTATCCACGAACGTAGCTGAAAGACAGGGCTTATGATTTTTTAAAATGAGTACTCGCAATGTGTCACTCCTGAAGACGGGTGTAGAAGCATAGTATTTGTATCTTTGTTTCTAAGTGGCATGCACCCTTTTCTTCTTTTCTTTCTTCCTTTTAGCTTTCTTTCTTTTTTTTTTTTTTTCAAAATCAACTCTCCATTACAGAAGATGATACATTAGCTCACTTCCCTTTGGCCTTCTCTGTGGAAACACACTCTTCCTTCCCACCTTGTCCTCTCCATGTAATTTAACATGCTGAGTGTTGGGGGTGGATAAGTGGCTTAGTAGCTAGGAACATGTGCTGCTGCTGCAGAGGACGTGGGTTCAGTTCCCAGCGCCTGCATGATGACTCACAGCTGCGTGTACTTCAGTTCCAGGGGATGGATGCCTTCTTCTGGCTTCTTTGGGTACCACATACATACGTAGCACACAAACATACATATAGGCGCTCACAAATACACATAAATAAAAATCAATAAATATTTTTAAAGACACTACAGGTTTTTATTGAATTAATAATCCTAAAACACCAAGATCATTACAAATTTTTCCTTCGTCATACTTAGTAATTCTTTCTCTCTCACCACCTCTGTGTGGGGTGGGGTATGTGTGTGAGAAAGAGAGAGAGACACAGTGAGAAAGAGGGATCATGGATACCAATGAAAACTAATTACTCATTTTCTCAAGCTCTCAGAGTATTCATAATTACCAACTGGCCCCTTTTGCGTGTTAGAGGATGCCAAGCTGTCTGTCTTGAAGTCTTCTGACACACTCTAATCTCAGAGCTGTCGCAGCCCCCAGCCTGGGACCCAATTTGCTTCCGCCCTGCATCGCCTGCCCTGGGTCTTGAGTCTTTTTTGTACGTGGTCATCTTTCTCCTTCTTCTTACCTCCTACTCTTCTTCCTCTTTATTCATCATCTAGTAACTTTCTGAGAAAGTGTGATGAAAAGTAATATTTTATGGACTTGCATTTCATATCTGAAAACGCCTTTCTTGTACCTGCTCATCTGATGGATAGCTTGGCATCATATCCCTTTGTATGGAAGCCTTGGGGCATTAAGTGGTAAAAGGGGGTTTGTCTAACTAGAATAGAGAGGCAGCCTAAACATTGAGTCTTTTTTTCTTTCTACTTTCTTAGTTCATTACAACTTTGTAAATAGTCACATTCCGGTTTGTAGTTCCCAGAAAATTTCATGTGAGCAAATAGCACAGCTAGTGAGTTCAAATGAAGAAGACGGAGAGGAGACAGCACCTAGTGAGACCAACCAGAGCCAGTAAAGGTGGAGGACAAAGGCCCTGTTCTTTCCTTGTTCTTCTCTGTTAATGCCAGAAGACAGCTTCACCTGGCTTGGCGGGTGATGTAGCTGACTGCTGGAAATTTCATCTGCCCCAAGTAAAGATGTCACAATGCAGATAATTTCCTCAGGAAAACACAGCTGATTGCAGCAATTAACAAATCAGAGGTTTGGATGCACAGTTCAGAGCTTGGCAGGTCTTTTCTTGTAACTGAGTAAGCTGGTTCCATTGCCATCCTGAGTCCTCATGCCTACCTGGCTGGCTGAACAGAGGTGCTTTGTAGTTTTCCCAGTTCACCAAGAATTCTAGAACTGAATATAAGAGAACTATGACATTGTTGGCTCTGCCACATTGCAGGTTCTTAATAGGATTTGATGGGAAGGATTATTTTTCCCCTTTATGGACTTATTTTTGAGAATTCTGTTCATTGGGCGCTCCAAATCCATGCCAGCACAGGGCAAAAATAAAGCCAAGAAGAATCATGGGAAATTATAAATTTCCTTTGTACCTTCTAAGTGTTTTGTTTTCCTGTGCTTGGATTTAGCTTTAATAATCTGTCGGCCTTGTAGGCTCTTCGTGCGTGCTTTCATGTCTAATATGGATTTCATTCTTCGTCTTCTTCTTATTTCCTGTAGGTGGATTAGACTGTTCCATTCTGCTCTCTGGAACAGGAATTTCTTCTTCCTGCCTGATTGCTTCATGCCTTTATACTGTGCATTTCATGCCACAAATGTGCTTTTTCTTCAGAAAGAAAAATCAATTTCCTCTAAGCTGAAGGATGGCCCAGGGTTTTTTTAAGAACCTCCAATTCCATGTTTCAATTTTTTTAATAAAAGAATATTGCAAAGCTCTATAGTCAGTTTCCCCAAGCAAGCCATTTGTTCCGCTTCTGTGTTGAACTCAGTGTCAGCCACAGTCCAGTCTCCCTCTCTTACTAAGAAGTGTGTGTGTGTGTGTTTATTGGTTGTCTCGGTTCTCTCAAACCTTCAGGCATCCAGATGTACCTCTGCAACAAAGAACACTATGGCTACCTGCCCATCCCTCTGAAGCCCCATCAGACGCTGCAGGAAGACATCGAGAACCTCATCCATGTGCAGATAGAAGCAATGAGTGAGTGAGCTGGGACCCAGGGCAACAATGCCTAGTTCAGAGTCACAGAAACCAAAGCAATCGTGGTGGTTCTCCTCTTCTAGGCCTGACATCTCATGGCCATCATTCTGTCTTGCCTGGGGCGCAGATATTCATCGGTCTGTGAAATTCTTAAGTTTTTCCTATGAGATACAAATATAACAAAGTCATTGTCCTCAGGGAGCTTCCTACTTTGGCGGATAGCTGGTTCCATGAGTAAATGCTTGTCCTATAATGCAGTGAATGCTATAATAGTGCTGTGTAGAATTAATTAATTAATTAATTAATCTTATTTTTTTTTTACTTTCTAATTATATGACTCTGGGAAAGACACTTCTTTAAAGTTCTAGGGCAAATTCGTGTGTGTGTGTGTGTGTGTGTGTGTGTGTGTGTGTGTGTGTGTACACTAACAGCGATTATATATATATATAAAATCAGCTACTGAAAATAAGGAAATGTGACATCACACATATATAATCAGCTTCACAATATAATGAAGGGTGACGATTATTGTGACTCCATTTAGCTCTTCATGAAAGTGCTGACCCTTATTATTGTCATTTCATGGCTGGCAGCCTTGACTCCCAGTGTCAGCTCACAGAATGACCGACCAGACCTTGTGCTCTGTTGTGTTCTTCCACATGCCTGGGCATAGGAAAAGTTCTCGTACATATGGCCAATAAAGATCTTAATGATTATAACTTCCAAATGCACAAGCCCCTAGTCTAGGTAGACTTCCCTTGAGAAGAGCTTGTGGGCCCAATCTTTCACTGCACTTCCCTTGTGCATGGCCACACACGTGCTAAGCAGTGTATCTATGGCATTTTATTTAATCCTTGCATTTACTGTATCTCGTTTTAACTTTGTTAAGAGTTCACACCCTGAACTTTCCCACACAGGACATAACTGAAATATTAAATCAATTGGAAACTCACAGGCAACTCAGGGGATCTAAAAGTAAACTCACAGATTTTTCATTCAAACTTGTCTTTTAGTCTTAATGCCTTGTTCCACTTAAAGATAAAAGGCTGGTGGTTATAATGCAAAACTGGGAACGGAAGGTCCATGTAGGAAGGGTAAAGTGTTGGTAATGATGAAATCATAGCTATGAAATCTCTAACTAGAGGTGAATGAGATATTAAACCACACAGGACTTGGGTTTCACTAGGCAGTAGAAATCAGCTCCTGGAAGAGTTATTGAAGCATTAAATACGTTTTTTAATGACTAGATGTGGGATCCATACCTGTAATTTGAGTCACTCCACAAAGGTACTAGGAGTCAAAACATCTTATTTTCAGAAGATGGCAGGTTAGTTGAGAAGACAAGACTAATATTAAAAAGACCCCAGTAGTATAGTGTGCCATGAATGGAGCAGATGCAAAGGCAACAGGAATCTAGACAGAGAGAAGTCACTGTGGCCTGTGTGGTCACGTTCAGACCTGATGCTTCTTCAGCTATCTTGGATAGAAGTTGGTAGCTCAGACAAGAGGATTGATATGGTCAGGACACTACAGGATGAGGAAAGAGACTGAGCAGACAAGGAATTTCCATCCTGGAAGAAAGTGCGCTAAAATATTAGGAGTAAATAAAGTTTAAGAGGTTGAAATGGTTTGGCTGATGTGGTCCTTAATTAGACAATCCAGAAAAAGTAGAATATCCATCCTAAAGAACTAATGAAGGCTTTAGGGGGGAAAAGGGTCAAACTATAAATATTCACTCAACCTATGGATGTGCATAATTTTCCATAGTAATGAAATACAGCAATGAACAAAACAAGCAAAAACCTTGCCACCAAGAAATTACATTCTATCAGAGATATAGGTAATATATCAAGGAAGCAGATACATGAATCTTTGGGGGGAAATTCCAAGCAGAAAGAACAAAACATATAAAGACCACTAGAGAGGAGAAATTTTGGGAGTGTTCCAGGACTAGAGGCCAATGTGGTGGGGAATGAGAATCTGGATAGAGGGAGATGAAGTCATGGATGGATGCAGAACACACTGGCCATGGCAAGGAATTTGGATTTTATCCTAAGAGTAACGTGAACCCATAGGATGGTGTGGTGTGATTTATGTATTTAGAAAGATCACTTAAGCTGTGGTGTGGATATTAGAGTATAAGGGATTAATACATCTCTCCTGCTGAGAGATGTCAGTGTTTGAGATTGGAGCTGTAGCAAGAAGTAATGAGAAACAGACAGGTTTAAAGTACATGTTAGTGGCAGGGCCCATTGTACTTATGGAGGCTTGGAGGCAGTCCATAAAGCAAGGGGGGGATTAAGAATGACTCCAGTATTTTGGTCCATGTAACTTACTGAGTTGAAAAAGTCTTCACTTCATTGCGTATGCTTGAAGTATTTATTGCATGTCTGAGTAGAGAGGCAAGGAGACACGTGGATATATGAATCTATGGGTTCAGGGAAGAGAGTCCATCGAGAGAGACATTTGAGACTCATTAACACTACAAGGATATTTGAAACCAAGGAACAGTGTGACCTCATGTAGTAAAACAAAAGAGGACAGATTCCCCAGAGTAGACTAACAGTCAGAAAGCTGGGAATTAATAAGGAGGTGTATTTGGAGAAAGAGCCAAATGCTATTGGGAAGCCAAGTAAAATGAGGATGAAGAAGTGATCCTCAGTGATGTCAAACTAGAACACTGTACCAGACGCTCGTGTCTGAAATCCTAACACTTAGGAGGCTAAGGCAACAGGATCGACAGTTTCAGGCCAGCCTGGGCTACATAGCAAGTTCCAGACTATCCTGGGCTACAGAGTGAGACCCTGTCAAGAGAGGAGTGGAGGGAGGAGAGAGAGAGACAGAGAGAGAGAGAGAGAGAGAGAGAGAGAGAGAGAGAGAGAGAGAGAGAGAGAGCTGTCATCGGTTTTCATAAGAAGCACTTTAATGCCATGATAGGGACACAAGCTGATTGGAATTGGTGAAGAGAAGACAAGGGTGAGATGAGAAAAAGTGGTCTTGACAGGGTGTGGAATAAAGAAATGGCTGGCGCCGCTGGAGGAAGCACAGAAGTCCCTGCCCTGGTTGTCAAGCATGGGTCCCAGTCCGAGGGGCTAGGGTGCTGGTGCAGGTCTAGGCCCTGACCCTTTCTCTAACAAAGCATCCTGTTCTGTCTTCCAGTTGACAATCCTCCAATGGAACCTTCCCAGTTTGTGTCAGTGGTCCCTAAGTATCCAGACAAGATGGGATTTGATGAGGTAGGAAAGTCTCCCCCTCCACCACCACCCCGTGTGTGTGTGTGTGTGTGTGTGTGTGTGTGTGTGTGTGTGTGTGTGTGTGTGAATATGCACAGTACGCAGAAACTTGTGTGTTCATGTTGAAACAGAAGACCACACATCTGTCTGAGAGCAAGCAGGCAAGCTTGGCAACTGGAAAGGTCCCGAGGGACCTGGGTTTGTTGTCCTTCTCTTTCCTGGTCTTCACAAAGGAGGAGCGTAGAAAACTGAGTCCAAAGGAATTATGTAGCAATGAATGTGAATTTGCTATGTATTTTTACCAAGCTTTTTATGGAGATTCAAGGGTAAGGTAAGGAGGATGTATGTTTTAGGTTCTGGAGACATGAACTTTATTCCGCCGTAGCTGAGCGGATGGAAACTGTTCTAGAACACTCTATGCTTTGTTTTCTTTCTGCTTTCTTTCCACGGGACAAGGTGGGAGGGCAGAGTTAAAGGACAAATGAAGAGAGAAATACATTCTAAAATTCTGTCTTTTGGCAGGCGGGTGTTGCTGGAGGGCTTCTCTCCAGGTTCCACCAAGCCCCACAGTCCCACAATCCACTTATAAAATAATCACTCAGACGCTTATATCACTTATAAACTGTATGGCCGTGGCAGGCTTCTTGCTAACTGTTCTTTTATCTTAAATTAACCCATTTTTAATTAATCTATACCTTGCCACGTGGCTGGTGGCTTACCAGAGTCTTTACATGCTGATTGTCCTGGCAGTGGCTGCAGTGTCTCCCCCCTCAGCCTTCTACTTCCCAGAATTCTCCTCTCTCCTTGTCCCACCTACTTCCTGCCTGGCAACCTACTTCCTGCCTGGTCACTGGCCATCAGTGTTTTATTTATATAGAACGATATCCACAGCAGGCGGGAACTTTTGGTAGTTCCCTAGGACCGTGTCTACTGTGCAGTTTAAGTATATAAACAGCTCAGCAGAGGTGGGCGTTTAGCTCAGTGACAGAGCACTTTCTTAGGAGAAGTGAGGTCCTGGGTTCAGTTCCTACCACCACAATGAAGGGGGGGGGGAGAGAAAGAAAGAAAAAGGGTAGGGAAATGGGGGGAGAGTAGGAGAGTGGTGAGGAAAAGGAAGGAAGAAGGGAAAGAGGGATGGAGGGAGGAAGGAAGGAAGGAAGGAAGGAAGGAAGGAAGGAAGGAAGGAAGGAAAGCAGACTATAAAAAGGTGCTTTTCTTGGTAGTGTGTAAAACAGACAGATGGTCGTCAGGCCAGAATTGCGAGTCTGTGTGGCTGAGCCCAGTCAGTACTGAGGAGTTCTGTGGTCTGGAGCCATGACCTGCCAGGGGTCCACAAACAGAGTCAGAACTCTTCCAGAGGTTCTGGATTTAAGCCAAGCATTGTGCGTTGAACTCCATACACTTTAATGGGAGGAAAAAGCCTCGTCACACCGGAACATTAACATCTGTATCCCCCAAACATGCCCATCCCAAGGAGCTAAAGGAACTAGGAATTGGGATCTCTTCTACAAAACGGACTTGAAGCCAGACTTCCAAGTAGGAATGGGTGAATATCAAAAAGTGTGCTGTTTCCACAGAAGGCCGAAGAGGGAGGGATGAATTTCAATGTAGCAAAGTATAAATAGACCCTATTGAGTCTATTTCTATTTACTAAAAATAGTGAATGGTTTTCAAACCTGACCAATGCTGCAAGAGTGGCCTGACCAGTGCCACGAGGGTGGGCGGGCCCTACCTGGGATGGCCCCTCCCCTCCCCTCCCCTCCCCTCTCCTCCTCTCCCCCCCCCTCCCCTTCCACACAGCTCCCTCCTAGTGAGTGCCGCTCTCGTCCCTTGGGGGCTCTGGACTCTCCTCATTCCCTAGGAAACAACGCCCAAGTGTCTTTCAGTATCTTCCATGGTCCTCCTGGCATCATATTTCTGTGAGGACCAATCACAGCAAGGGAAACAAAACCAGGACCGTGGTCTCTCTCCGCCCCGGGCAGGACGTGGTGGTGTTAGGCCAGCCCTAGAAAGTGAGGCGGGCAGGGACCGGGCTTTCCACAGCCCGGGATAATCATCTCTCTGTCTGCAGCAGACATGGGCTGGGGAAAAGGGATGTCATAGGCCTTCCCGCCCTCCCATGCTGTGACCTGGTTGCTGGTGTCTGGCTGCGCTTGGCACTCAGGTCTTGGCTCTGTTTACTAAGTGTGAGCGAGCCGTCTGTGTCTTTCCTTCGTGGCCACTGGCTTTATTGCCCTTACCCTGGCAGGGCCCAGGACGGGACTATTATTTACTAAAAGCTTCCGCGACTGGAGGCCTCTGGTTTGCAGGGGACTTTTTTTTGGATTCGTGTCTGTTTGTTTTGTTTTGTTTTGCTTTGTCTCCTCGGGTGACCCCAGGTGACTCGGCGGTTGCGCAGGGGATGTGCCATTTCCTTCCCATGTCTGTAAAACCGGGGAATGGAGCACAGCCCTGGACAGGATTCTAAAGAGGGAGAGAATGAAGCGGGAAAGAACATAGTGCATTAAGCTAGGAAGTCCCAAATATAAGGCACACAGAAACATGGCATTTTTGTCTTGTTAATAATTATCCAGTTAAGTAAACCAAGAGGGAAGTCAAATCCTGCTGCACACGCCGGCTGAGCCCATCAAACAGAGAGATGTTGCAAAAGGATTCTGTTGCTCCCTTGAATCTATGTGTTAGAAGAGATGAGGCTATTTTGCAAGGGAAAATTGAATTCTGATCCTCCTAAAACATGTATTTAAAATTATATTCAGGATGATCACTGAGCCAAAACTCAATACAGTATAATCTGAGCCCCAATCTGACTATAAAATGAATATAATAACAATGTTATTATAAAACAGATATGTGCAGGGCTTGAGGGGTGGGTTTGTTCAAACTCCTCCTTTTCTAGATAGTAGAGCTAACGACCCAGAGGCATTCAATGACTTCCCCAGAGCCACCCAGAGGGTTAGTCAGAAGGAAGTCAGTGTCTTCTGCCATGTTCCCTGATTAATCAGGAGGGAAAATGAGTGTCCTCTGCCCTGTTCCTATAGGTTTCTCCTTCACTGCGACATAAATTCCCGCTGGCAGTGAACATCTCCCAGTTTTGAATAGTTTAATATTCAAAATCAGTTCACTACCGCTTGTAGCCAAGAGGCCCTTATTCAAATGTCAACTTACAGACTGGCAAGATAATTCTGTGGATGAAAGGGCTGGCTGCCAAGCCAGACGATGTGAGTTTGATCCTTGGGACCCCCACGGAAAGAGAGAACTAACTCCTGTAGGTGGACCTCTGACCTCCACACATGTGCCACGACACCCACAGCCACACATTTACACTGTACTAAATAAATACATACATGTGGAAGGCTAACTTACCCGCAACAGCGCTCCTGAGGCCTTAGTGGCCCCGTGATGTCTATAGACTAGTACTGCTGTCCATCAGGCATCCGCAGGCCGAGGTGCGGGGTCCAGGGGCACTCGGCCCTCTCTCAGGAACACGACATGCACATCCTTCCTTATTCACAAGCCAGCAGGTATTCTCTGTAGGGCACCCCACAAAGACTCACACCCAAGCCGTGTGTTGCACTACGCTCTCCTCTGTCAGGGGTCACCCCCAAGGCTTGTGAGACTGAGATCTTGACATGCGTCCTGGAAGTTTGGGGAAGACTCGGATTTCTCTTCGTTTTTGAAAGGTGTAAAGCTTACCTTGCAGGATGTGGATTGTGAGGATACCAAACACAGTACTCATGGGGTAGAGCCACAGTGGTCCCAGTTCCTGGATGAGGAAACTTGAGACAGAGGAACAACAGTCCTAAGACAGACAAACGGCAAGTCACGGTATTAAAAACATAAGTCTGCCGATGCATTCAGTCGCTTGGTTTGATTTAGCCATTTAGCAAACCACTTCCTTCCCATCAGCGCTGTATACATGAAGTTTAATTCACCTTTGGCCTTTTGGGTGGTATTTTTATTTTTAACTTTATTTTCTCAAGAGTAGCGAAAAATACATTTATCAGTGAATATCAGGGAAACAGCGGGATGGGCCACTGCAGATGGCTGCATTTAGACATCGGCTCCATTTGGATAAATAAATAGCATTTACCCCCCACAGGCCTAATAAGGAGCTACAACACTGTACCCCAGCTTTCTTCCCATTCCTTATCCCGCGAACCCCTCCGGTCCTGACATGTGCTTTGCTGAGCTTTCCGATCCACCTCGAAGACACTCCAGTCACGTGCGTCTCTTTCCCCTTATACTCCCCGCTCTAGATTTTCATGATTAACCTCAAGCGCAGGAAGGACAGGCGGGACCGGATGCTGCGCACGCTCTACGAGCAGGAGATTGAGGTCAAGATCGTGGAGGCCGTGGATGGGAAGTGAGTCTTCCGTCTGTCCCCTGGCGGGTGTGGTTGGAGCAGGGTGGTGCCTTCTCTGACTGAGAAGGCGTCCTGAAGGGAGGGACCGCTAAGGCTCCTGGCCACAGCCCCTGGCCACGGGTAACAGATGCTTGAGAGGGATGCCCGTAGTAACAGCGATGGATGCTCACTTTAGCCTGTAGAGTGGGCCTAGGACCCACTCCCCAGCCAGCGACCACTGGGCCTCACACCACTAGATGTGATTCTAGACCACTAGAACCCTGTCTCTGGCCATTCTCAGAGCTGTGGTGGTTTCTGTTTTTCTCTCATGTAGTAGAGGGAATGTATTTGGAATCGTGTTCAGATCTGAATAAAACAAGCAAACAAACGAAGCGAGCAGACAAAGGTCTCTGTGTTGTGTGAGGCATCTAGATTCCTCCCCGTCTGACTACAGTGGCCATTTTTCCTAGGACTGTGACAGGAAAATCACACATACCTAGGACTGAATGTAACCCAGGTTAGCCTTTAACTTGTTATTCTCCTGGCCCAGCCTCCAGAGGGCTGGGGTTTACAGGTAGGTGTCTGTCAGGTGTATCTCCTACGTTTATGCCTCTGATCCGTGCTGAGCTAAGTGTTAAACATGATTCGAGGCAGGGATTCCCTTCTGGTTTGCATATGGTCATTTGACTTTCTCTGTACCGCTATTCAAAAACTATACTTCACCCTCGGAATTCTTCGTCAAAAGTCAGTTGATCGTAAATGTAAGAGACTACTTCTGACCTCTTAATTTCACTGAATTAATCTACAGATCTGTCCTTATGATAGTCCCACATTGACCTCATGACTGTAGCTTTGTGTTTTAGGAAGTGTGAGTCCTGTACCTTTATTATTATTTAGCAAGGCTCTTTTACCTTTCATAGGTGTGTGGTGTTCTGTGAGTTTTAGTTGCTTTACACACACACACACACACACACACACACACACACACACACACACACCAGCTCGGATTTTGATAGGAGCTGCACTAAGTCTACAGATCAGTTGAAGGAGTGCCAAGAATCATCACAAGTCACTTCACTTTCTAGATCTATGTCAGTTCTTGGAATGAGGTTCTGTTGCCTTCAGTTTGCAAGTCTTTCGTTTACATTGATAAATTTATTATTATCATTTGTTGGTGACATGGTAATAAAATTATTTCCTTAATTTAATTTTTGAATATTTATTACCAAATGTATACAAACACTATTGGTGTTGTATACTGATCACGTACTCGGCGACCATATTTATCAGTTCTAATTGCGTGTGTGTATGTGTGTGTGTGTGTGTGTGTGTGTGTGTGTGTGTGCGCGCGCGCGCGAGCGCACATGGATGTATACCCATTGCCTTGGCTTTCTGTAGGCAAGACCTTGTCATTTACAATTGGAGAAAGTGTTGTTTTTTCTTTTCCAATCTGGATACCGCTTCTTTCCTTTTCTTGCCTTATGGCCCTGGATAGTGCCCTGAGTATAACACTCAAGAGAAATGATGAGGGCTGATACTTTTGTCGTATGTCTTAAGATCATATCCTGATTTCAGAGAGAAAGCATTTAGGGTTTCTCTGTTAGGTACTATATTAGAGGTGCAGTTTTACAGAGTTGATGGTGTATACCTTTAATCACTGTTCTTAACATGAAGGTTTGTCAGATGCCTCTCCCATTGAGATATCACATAGCTTCTTGTCTATCAACATGATACCTTGATTTGCCTCATCTTCACATGCTAAAACCACACTTGTAATTCTGGAAAAAATGTTCACCTAGTCATCCTATACAATCCCTCACTTCTGTTTGCTGGACTCTACATACTAGTATTTCCAGAAGATTCTGTATCTATATTAATAGGACTATGGGCCTGTAGTTTTCTAGCTTTGCTTCAGATCATACTGGCTTCATAGAATCATCTGGGATTGGTTTTCTCCTGCTCTATTTGTTTTGAAAAGGTTGTTAAGAATTTGCATTAATTCTTCTTTAAACATCTGGCTTTAGGCTTTTCTTTGTGAAAGATTTCAAATTATTAACTCAACTTCTTTCCATGTTTTATACCTATTCAGAATTTCTTGTTTTTCAAGCAATTTCAGTAGTTTTACTTTTGTATAAATTTGCCCATTTAATTTAGGGGTTTTTTATTTTGGCAAACAAACATTTATAGTATAATCTTTTTTACTTCTATAAGGTCAATAGTATACCTGCTCTTTCATTCTTGAATTTAATAATCATAGTAGTAAATGGATCTACTGGCTTTGTTTATTTGTGGGTCTAGGTAAAAGATTGTCAGTTTTGTTGATCTTTTCAAATAAAAAGACGTGTGTGTGTGTGCACGCGCTCTGTGATGTTTTCCATTCTATAATTTATTTATTCCACTGTAGTCCTTAGTGTTCTCTATTTCCTATGTAATGTGAATTTAATTTGCTTTTATTTTTCTAGTTTTCAAAAGTGGTTGGTTAGATCACATATATTCCTTTTTTAATTAGTTACAGCTATAATTGTATATCTAAGTACTGTATTAAGTACAATTCATAACTTGCAATATACTGCATTTTCACTCATTCCAAAATATTTTCTAATTTCCCTCATGATTTCTTTTTTTAGCCATAGATTATTTAGAACTTTGTTAACTTCATGGGTTTGTGAATTTCTCAATTTCCTTTGTTATTCATCATTCCACTGCGTCATTTTAACATACTTAGGTTTGATTTATGGTCTTTGTGGTCTTTATGGTCTAACACATGACTTTCTAAGAGAATGCATCAGGGACACTTGAACACATGCATATTTTGCTATCATTGAATGGAGTGTTCTACAGATGTCTGTAGGTCTATTGGCTTATAGTGTTATTCAAGTTTTATTTATATGTAAGTGTTATATCTTCCTAAATGATTTATCATATTTCATATTTCATTGTCTTTAGAATATATTTTCTCTACAGGTTTATTTTTCTGATATTAATACAGCCCTTCATCTCTCTTACGGCTATTGTTCACATCATGTATCATTTTACGTTCTTTTACTTTCAACCTATTTGTGTTTTGAATTTAAATCCTGTCTCCTGTGGACAGCAGATAATTAGATTATTTAAAACCCCTTGTTGTTGATGACAATGTTGAATCCATTTGCCTTCACCTACTTTTTTCCCTGGCTTCTAAAAGCTTAAAGCAGGAGGTAAAGACTGGGGTCTTTGGGACTCTTTTTCTGGGAAAATTTACAGCTTTGAATACAGTGTTGCCTCCCAGATTCTCAGAAATATAACGGAGACTTTCAAAAACCCATATTATAAATATTTTTGTCTTCAGTTTTCCTTTTAACTGTTTTGGGTAGCCTCTCCTTAGCCCTAACTGGTAATGCTGCCCAGGTAACTCTAACATTAAAGCTGTTTTGAACAAATACCTGCAGAGAGGACTGTTCACAGAGAATGAACCCAGAGTCCAGTCAAACAAAGACAAGCTCTGAGAATGGTGTTTCTGGAGACTGGCTTGAATCGAGATGGTGTCCTGGGGACAGGTCCTTGGGGAGTCCCAGCCTACCCTGTCACTTTCAGTTTTCACAACTGCTCATGGTTTTGTGAGGTGGCTGGTTTTCAAGCATGCTGTAGGGCTGGGGAGAAAGGAGTTCAGTTAAGGCAAAGCCTACAAAACCAACTGTGCTTACAGAGAGTCCACTGCTGTTTTCCTCAACACATACTCTGTGGGTTACTGTGGGACCTTAGTTATTTTCCAGAGTTTGGGGCCATTGTCACCAGCACCTCATAGCTCTTACAGAGAGACCTTTACTCTACCATTTGGGAAATTTATGTGTGTTGTTTTATTTTATTTTTACCTTGTTTTAGTTTTAGGTGCAAAGGAATGCCATATGTGCATGGTTTCTCTTCTCATTAATGCCTGTCCTTTGCAACCAGAGGTGGAGCCTTTCTGTCTGGATTGCCCAGTCCCAAATAAACACACAGAAGCTTATATTAACTGTAAATGTTTGGCCAATGGCTCAGGCTTATTACTAGCCAGCTTTTACATTTAACTTAACCCATAATTCTTATCTATGTTTAGCCATGTGGCTCATGGCTTGTTACTTGATTTTATATATGTCTTGCTTCCTCAGCTCCATCCTACTTCTCCCTGTATCTCCATTTGGCTTTCCTGCCCAGTCTTATACTGCCTGGCTATAGGCCAAAACAACTTTATTGTCAACCAATGAGAGAAACACATATTCACAGCTTACAGAAGGATCCTCCCACAGCATTTCCCCCTTTCTGTCTAATCAAAAAGAAAGGTTTTAACTTTAACATAGGAAAATTATATATAACAAAACAGTTATCAAGCAAGAATTACAGTTACAATATCTAGTCTATTTGTATTTGGCAAAATTAAAAAAAATGCTCTATCGTCTATCCTATCTTTTTGAGTCTAAAGTTTCATATCTAATTTACCTTTTACCATAGCTAAGGAAAACTATAACTATTTAGTCTTCAGCTCCATCAAAGACCCCAGAAGGATATAATATTACCTGAGTAAACAGGAAGTGCATTGCAAGCAACTTCCAAAACTCTAGAAATGACAAAGATGTCTGGCTGCCTAGACAGTTATCCAAAGTTCTTTTGTAATGTTGGGGTATCCATCTGCAGCCTATAGTCCTAGAGTATCTGGCAGACGTTTTTAGTAAAGCAGGAAATTTGAAGGAGTGTCCAACCTATATTGGCAAAGTTTATCAGTCACTTTCCTCTGTGTCCTGCAGAATGTCTGGCAGTTTCTTATGTGAAGCAGGAATCCTGAATGACCATTCTACCTTGTTTTGGCAAAGTTTAAAGGTCCTGCATGTCCAGTTTATACAACATACTGTCAAGCAGTCCAGGCAAGAGCAGTTTCTTGCCCAAATGGCTAGCCTTACCACATTGAAAGCAAACTCCATAAGGAGTTTCTTCAATGGCCATCATTCTCTTTGAAGTTTGGTGCTGCCAGGAGCAGATGTGTCTCACTGTCAAGAAAAGTCTAAGTTCTTAAAACATTTTAAATGCCGTATTCTGTAGGTCTTTGAATTTTTGGAAGATTACCTATCTGAAATATATATACAAAAATATATCTTTGTATATCTAGAAAACCTAACTAACATGACTATAAGTTTGACTATTACAGATGACTATTAATCTGTATTTTTCAATTATACATTACATTTTTAAATAAGCTGCATGAACATAATACCTTAAACAAGAATACAAATATACATACAGTATAACAAAATTGACTTTAAATTTGTATCAATAAACTAAAATCCATACCAATGTAAAATATTTTGAGGTTAACAGTTGTTTTTTTTTTTGGATTAAAGTAGATTCAATAATCTACCCTTTTTTCATTATAATAATCTACCCTTCCCCCACCATTTCTATATCATATCTCCCTTTCTTCTTTAGAAAGAGATTGACTATGACCATTAACAATTCATAACCAACCCCCCTTAAATGAAAACAAACATTCATAAACAATATTTTGGGAATTTGGGTGTAGTTCTCTGGACTACTTCCTGTTAATTGGGGCACTGGTAATCTTATGGTGACTCTGAGAAAATTTGAAACAATGGCCAAGTCCTGGGAAGACCAGCTACAACCTTTGTTGATAGATATCACCTGTCAAGGTTCAGAAGGTCCCTTTGATCAAACCTGGTCCATCTTAACCTGGAACAAATCTGCAGCCACTTGTTTCCTGTGGAAACAAAAGCTGCCTCTCCAAAGTAATGCATCTTTTAAGCTCCATTTTACAAATGTATTTTTTGGCTTCTGTTTTAAAGTTAAGGCATTCTTAACATATCTAGGCTGGTGTATTTCATCAGTCCCTCTTTCAATCCCATGTCTCTCAGTAACTGTTCTTTGCTTGTCAGCATTCACAACATTCAAAATCAGCACAACACTACACAGGGTCCAGACTCCCTGTGTATTTCCCATTTCTATGTGACTTGTTCTTTTTTATTATTTTACTTGTCTCTTTAAAGACTTTATTATTTTATTTTTAAACTATTTATTCCTTTCTATAACTGTCCATACCCTTTTTATTTCTTTCTTAAGCCTACACACATTGTAAAACACACTGGAACCTGTTTAGAGGTATTTCTGTCTGGACCTCCTTTTTACTATGTATCTTTTAACCTTTTTTTTTTTTTTTTTGGTCAGCATGAGCAAAAGCTAAATCCACCACACAATGTACTGTGTGGTTTGGAGACACCTCTGCATGCTGTGGCAGGAATTGTCATGCTGTAGCTTAAGCCTGCACACTGTAACATCTGTGTACTATGGCCACATGAAAAGCACAACTAGAAAGATGTTTCTGTTTATGTGTTTTAGAACTCCCCTTTTTTAAAGCTTTCTCAGGCCTTCTGTGGATATACAGGTGGCACATTGGAGCTCCATATGTAACCAGAGTCAGAGCCTTTCTTTCCTGATCGCCCAGTCCCAAATAAACACACAGAAGCTTATATTAATTATAAATGTTTGGCCAATGGCTCAGGTTTACTACGAGCTAGCTCTTACATTTACATTTAAATTAACCCATAATTCTTATCTATGCTTAGCCATGTGGCTCATGGCTTGTTACTTCATTTTATATATATCTTGCTTCCTCAGTGACTGGCTGGAGTCTGCCCTGACTCCACCCTTCTTCTCCCTGTATCTCCAGTTGGCTTTCTTGCCTCCCTTTATTCTGCCTGGCTATAGGCCAAAACAACTTTATTGTCAACCAATGAGAGAAACTCATATTCTCAGCATATAGAAGGATCCTCCCACAGCAATCCTCTGCCTTTCCAGGATGTAATGTGCCCTATAAACTGCTATTCCTTCATTAGGAGAGTACTTTTTCAAAGTATTTAGAAAAATCTATGAAAAAAAAAGAAAAACATGTTGGGCATGGTGATGGATGTACACATGTAGAAGAGGCCATTTTACCTTCATCATGCTCACAATGCTACTGTGGTATACCAACCCAGAAGACATCAAGAGAATTATAGGAAACTGAGAAGTCTTTCTCCATGTATAGAAAGGCTCTGAAGAAACATGTAGACTCTCTCTCCCCGCCCCCTCTCTTTTTCTCCCCTGGAGTGGGGACACCTTGACTTAGATGTCTTCATGCATGTTCTTTGTCAAGCAGGGCGCTCAACACAAGCCAACTGAAGGCCTGGAACATTGAAATGCTACCAGGGTACCGTGATCCCTACTCCTCTAGACCTTTAACGCGGGGTGAAATTGGCTGCTTCCTCAGTCACTTCTCCGTCTGGAAAGAGGTAATTAATTCTTTAGAGGAACAGTGTGGTAATGAGGAAGAGGGAGAATGGAACTTTCCAGGTGAATTAGAACCAGATGCAAGAGGGAGCCTCTGGTTGTCTCGGAAGCATGCTTGAAAGTTCCTCCCATCAGCCCAAGGCCAGCAACAAGCACACTAGGATGGTGGCCTCAGGCTGTTTGGGATGGCAGTGGGTGTGGGTATTCATGCCATATGAACTTCATTTTTCTTACTTCATCTTCACTATAAACAGGAATGATTTATGTCTGTCTGTCATGTTATCGTTTATCAAATGAATTCATGCAAGACTCTCACAGGAGGCATGTGAGGCAGGCTTAGGAAAGGATGGATTCTTTTTACACGAGTAGAAATCATTAACTGTCTTCAGGTAAGAAGAGTCAGGGCCATAGCTTGGCCCTGTATCATACATATCCAGATACTAATGGGGGCGGCATTGGTGTGCAGGGTACGTGAACGAGGCTCAATTCTCACAAGAGAGGAGAATGACAAAAAGGAAAAGAAAAACTCAAGACAGATCCCTTAGTACCTTCTCTCCTTTAATGACCCAGTTCCTTGCTTGTCTCTTCACTCCTTAAGCTTTAAACAAAATGTTACGGAAATATATAGAAGCACAGAGATCATAGGCTACTGTCAGTGAGATCGCACCCATAACAGGCACCCATATTAATATATACTGGGATCAAGAAACAGGTGACAAGTATGCCAGAGGTGTCCCCCCTCTACACAGCATTCTGGTCACTATTCTCCATGGGCCGTCACCGTCCTGACATCTGACGGCATGGTATGGCCTGTCTTTGTACTTTCCTGTTTGTGAGTGGACCCACACAATACGTATGAGCTCTCAGGACTGCATATGAGAGATGCTAGCCTGCGAGATTGTTACCACTGCAACATTGATTTGGTTGTAGATTATCTATCCTCATATGCCACGATCATCTACACGTCCTGCTGTCGACAGATATTTTCTTGGATCCAAGTTATGAGCTTTCACAAATGAACATGCGTATCAAAGCTTTCCTACAGTCTTTCCCCACTGATGGCCTTTACAGGTCATTGACCGGGCACTGGAGAAGACGCTCGTCATTGAGGATGATGTGCGTTTTGAGCATCAGTTTAAGAGGAAGCTAATGAAGCTGATGGATGACATCGACAAGGCTCAGCTGGACTGGGAACTGATGTGAGTCACAAGGCGGATAGCACTCAAAGGCAGTTTCTTCCAAGGTACAGAAAGCTCACCTCCCTAGCTGGTAGGAGCCCCGACTCAAGCTTCCTCCCATTGGCCTGGTTTTCACACCACAGTTGTTTCCAGAAATAAGAAGTAGGGAAAGATTGGGCGGTTGTTTTTACCTCCACCTACTGTCCAAGGTGAGAAACTACAGGGGATTTTTTTTAAATGAGATTGAAGTTGGCCAGTTGATCAGGGGCCTCCGGACAGAGCCATGGAGAAGCCCCGAGGACCCCTTGGGAAAACAATGGAAATTTCACCTACAAAGCAGTGGCTGTGCGCAGCGTGTGAAGAGGGAGTAGTGGGCATTCGTTTAAGGGCTACCGTGTACTTGAACCTCAGCTCCCAGGACAAGGGTGGACTCGGCAGTCCTTGATGGGGTGGGTGTGGGAGGCTCGGAAGAAAGCTCCTCCACAGGGATGGGGTTGTCTAATAAAGGAAAACACTGACCACTGGGCTTGTGACAGGAAGCCAGGCTCACTGAAGGGGTGCTGGCCTGGAGCTCATATGACTGTGTTTGTCTCTTGCCTCGAGCTAGCATCTTTTCTTTCTCCTCCCTTCCTTCTTCCCTGTCTCTCCCTTCTCTCCTGCTCTTTCTCTTCCTTTGTAAAATAAGCGATGCTTTCTGTTCCCTCCAATGAGGCAGAAACGTCCCGAGGTCCCCAGCTGGCTTCTAAGGTAATATTGTCGCCCCAGAGCCTGCTCGTTTGGAACAGCCCACTTTCCCTGCCCTTCCGTCCTCATCAGGGAAGATAATTTCGGACCCTGTTTTCACAGAAAAATGGCCCGTTCTGAACGGAAAAGGAAACCCAGCATGACCCAACTAACTTCTGAGTTTCTTGGAAATAGACCTCAAAATCAGTACAGTGTAATCACAAGAGGCCTTCCCTGTCCAACTTGAGTCCCGCCATCCATATTCTGAACAGTTTGCTGGGGTCAGGCTTCTGGTCTCCAGAAGTCACTGCTCTTCGGCCCCTCTGCATCTGTGGCTGTACGGCCTGTGGTCGAACCTCATGCCCACACAGACTGGAAGCTGTGCTGCACTCATGTGACACACGAAAAGCACCTTTGACTGACACTTGAAAATCACAGAAAACGCAGGCCGGGACACTTAAAGCAGAGGTTCGGCACACATCCCTTCTCGTGTGCGGCATGGTTGGTGCATTCTCAGGACGGAGTGCCGTCAGATCCAGGAAGGGCGGCTGCCCTGCTAAGGAGGAAAGAGTTAGAGGGTAGTCTAAAACCCGCCACCGATCCCTCTTTTAAAGAACTGTTAACTGCTTTAATGAAGAATTACTCACACCAAACCCAAAAGCTAACCATCCATCCATGATTAGCAGCCTTGATGTTTCCAGGAAAGAGAAATAATAAATTGGGACGATTTAACAGTCATGGGACTTATCTGTGGAGTTTTCTTCAGTAGCTACACTGTGAGCCAAATATGTTATTTCAAATGTTCTGACCACACTGAAAGTTAAAAAATAAATGAGGTAAAGTGAGTATTTAATATATTTTATTTAACTGAATATATCCACATATCACTATTTTAGCATGTAGGTAATATTTCTAACCATTAATGAGATACTTTATGGTGTTTATACTATCTCTAAAAGCCTATATATAATTACACTCAGAACACGTTTAAACCCAGAAAATAAAATGTCAACTGTTAAACTGTAGTCTTACCAAATAATAAATTTGCTTTTCAGGAAGAAAAGCATTTTACAGGGCTAAAATATCAAAATCATAACTTACTTTTAAAACTCTCTTTAAGTTTCTGAAATTATAATATAATTTCATCATTTTCCTCTTTCCCTTTCCTCTCTCCAATCCCTCCCATGTAGCGCTCTTTCTCTCTCTCTCTCTCTCTCTCAAATTCATGGCCTCTGCCTCCTTTTCATTAATTTTTATTACATATATGTATATTCTATATATTTATGTAAATATATATTCCTAAACATATAAATAGAACTTGTTTAGTCTCTAGACTAGGATGAGTATGTATATGACTTCAAGGCTGATCACTTAGTATTGGATACCCAATTTGGGGGTTCTTCCCCAGGGCGGGGAGACTCTTGCTCCAGCTCTCAGTATTCCTTGGTTTCCTATAGTTCTTCATCTAGGGTTGAAAGCCCACGAGATATCACTCATCTATGCTAGCATGTCGTCTATGTTAGCAGGTCTTGTTTAGGCAGCCATGTTGTTGAGACTTCCTGGGTGCAGCTTCCCTGACATTCCTGGGAGATGCAATCTCACAGCAGCTGTCCTGTCCCCCTGGCTCTTACAATCTTGCATCCCCTTCTTTTGTGATGTTCCCTGAGCCTTAAGTGTAGGGGCTGTATTGAGGATGGGCACCACCTAAATTGGAATTTAAATTAGTAAGATTATAAACTCCGTTCCTCTGCCCATGCAGCCACATTTCAGGTATCTAGTAGATGTTTCTTTCCTGCTACGCTCAAGAAACCCCGACTCTTCAGTCTGAAATGACAGTGACTGTGAGGACGGATGCTTGAGGTCCCCAGAAGAGCTGAAGACGGACCATGTTCTTCTGCATGTCTCGGTGCCTCCTTCAGAGTGTGGGCAGAGTGTAAATGGGCAAAGACTTTCAGAGCTGACATTCCAACTATCTAGAAGGAACCCTTTGCGATTCCTCTAGGTTTCTTTGCACTCTACTGCTGACTCTGTCTACCACAACCTTTTCTGTTCTGTTCACACCAGCACTTGGAAAGTGGTACGGAAAGCATCCATGGCTGAAACTCTGGGGATGTAAGGACAACAAACTCAAGAATCCCACATCTGGCCTCTTTTGTTCCTTTCCAAACTCTCTAAACACAGCTGGAAATCCCATATCATGCCTGGGAAATCACCCAAGCAATTTTTTTCATCTCTTTGCATCTTCCCTCTCTGGCTTAAAGACAGACCACTAGGCCTGACGAGTAGGGGTGCTGATAAATGGAGCTGGGGAACTGACGTCATGGGGACCAATAGCAATTGTGGATACCGATGGAATGTTCTCTGTGGTAGTGTGCATTAGCAAAAGACACAAGAGTCCAGACTTTAAAATATCTTTTCAAACTAAGTGTGTGCTCTAGTCTTGTAATAGCCGATACCCTGAAATCAGGTTGACGCTTTTCTCCTCACCCCCTTTCCTTACAGTTACATCGGCAGGAAAAGAATGCAAGTCCAAGAGCCAGAGAAAGCGGTGCCCAACGTTGTAAATCTGGTGGAAGCTGACTACTCCTACTGGACACTGGGCTACGCCATCTCTCTGGAGGGAGCACACAAGCTTGTGGGCGCTGATCCCTTTGGGAAGATGTTGCCAGTGGATGAGTTTCTGCCAATCATGTACAACAAGCATCCTGTGTAAGTCTCCTGCCATGGCCGCCTGTCCCTTGGGCACACACTGTTCAGGAGTTAAGCCTCCTGGGTAGAACTTGGTATTTTTTCTAGTTCTATGGCTTTTCTAAAGAATCCTTCTATTATCATAACAAAGAAGGTTGAGTAGTCCCTTGAACAGACAGGAAGGATGAGGCAGAGGAGGTGAATGCCTTGCCCAATGTCCTCTTCATCACCCAGTGCACAGAACAATGGCCTGCTCTGAATCTACTTGTCTGTTTGTACTTCTGACTCCATAACTTCACATTCCTGAAGCTAAAGGTCATTTTCTCAAGCACCCTAGATTTGGGGTTCATTCTGTTCACTCCATGTATGTACCGCTAGATAGGCACACATCCTCTCAGTGCTCTTCCTGTGAGAGATAACATAGACCCATGAACAAATCATCATGGTATATTGTGGTACTCATAGTCATGGGGATGGCAAGAAATTTGGGAAATGAGGAGGTGGCCCCTGAGCCAGATATCGATGGAAAATGAAGTACAGTGCTCAGAATCCCAAAGGCCTATGACCAAGACACTTATCAAAAGGTCTGGTAAGTGATGGTTATCGGTCAGTTCTCACAGTAGGCTATGAACCCTTGGAGGTAGGAGCAGCTGCAAATCTCTGGGTCCTTAGGGTATGTGTCATAGCTGCTCAGCCAGTACTTCCTAAACTCATGAGTGGAACAGAAGGCCAGGTTCTCACTTTGGCTCCTTCCCTCCATTGCTAAGTGACCTCCAACTCTGACCTTCACTTTAGCCGCTGAGGCTCCCAGGATGCAGCTGGCTCATTTCGTCTCCTGCCATCAGTAAAGATGGAGCCAGCTACATGACATCTTTTATGCAACATGCTTTACCTCTGAATCCTGACAGAAACATAGAGTCAAACCATTGTCTCCTGAAACAGAAAGGAAATTAGTAATTACTTAATTTGATTTCACTCACAGGCAAAGATACTGCATAGGTATCCTTCATATAACTTTCACAGGAGCCCTTGGAGGAAGGCCAAGATGTCCCTCTCCTTTCCAATTGCGTAGAGCCAGGGCAGCAAGCAAGAACTGGAATGCAGTGCCCATCTAGCATTCCTCCAAGCTGTCTCCATGTCACTTACCCATTGCTGCTGTTGGGGTCTTAGGTGTCTGTAGCATGAATCTTAAAAGTTCTTATTAATAAAATCAAACCTGAGCCAGGTATTAGGGTGAACACTGGAAGATCAGAGAGACGGAACAAGCCACAGCTAACCTCACCTGGCCAACTTCTTAGCTGGTCTTGTTTCCTCAGACTGAAAGCTTCTGTGTCCTCATCCCAATGGCTCTCAGCTGAACTGCTGCTTAAAAGTCTGAAGCTTAACCAGCTAAAAGCTTCTAGTTCCTGGTCCTCACGCCTTATATATCTTTCTGTTTTCTGCCATCACTCCCTGGGATTAAAGGCTCGCTTTCTGGGATTAAAGGTGTGAGTCACCATGCTTGGCTGTATCCTTGAACACATGGATTTCTGCCTCTGGAATGCTAGGATTAAAGGCGTGTGCTACCACTGCCTATCCTAAGTATCTAGTGGCTTTTCTGTTCTCTGACCCCAGATAAGTTTATTAGGGTACTCAATATTTTGAGGAACACAATACCACCACAGGTGTCGTTTGTTTCTTCAGGAGCAGGACACTGGTTGTCAATCAATCGTGTTTATTTATCACTAGGAGCCCAGCAGAGTTTAACTTTCACCTTTCAGAGTAAGACTTGAAGCTCCTTCACCACACTGTCCAGCCCAACTGCAACAGGTCGGGCCTGCCTTTTTGGCTTCAATTCGTTTGTGCAGATCCTCTGAAAGTTTTAAAGAAACCCTTGTGTTTGCAGCCTAAGGCTCTCTGCAAACGATACAACTTTAAAATGCAGGAAATGAACCTGGGCGGCTTCCGCCCCTCACGTGGCCATGCACATCTCGTTACAGAGCCGAGTACAAGGAGCATTATGAAGGCCGGGACTTGAAAGCCTTCTCTGCAGAGCCCTTGCTTATCTACCCCACGCACTACACAGGCCAGCCGGGCTATCTGAGCGACACAGAGACTTCAACCATCTGGGACAACGAGACAGTGGCCACCGACTGGGACAGGACACATTCCTGGAAGTCCCGGAAGCAAGGACACATCCACAGTAACGCTAAGAACACTGAAGCACTGCCACCACCGACTTCTCTGGACACTGTGCCTTCAAGGGATGAGCTCTGAAAGCTCCCCGGGAGCACGGTCCTCATGGTTCATCATGGTCCGCATGGTTCATCACTGGCTGGTTCTTCTAAAGGGCTACTCATCTGTTTGTTCCAGGTTTTTTTTTGTTTGTTGGTTGTTTGGTTGGCTGGCTGGTTGGTGGTTTGTTTTGTTTTGTTTTGTTTTTTGTTTTTAAAGATGGCGGTCATCTAATCAAAGTGATTTGATGTGATTGATCAAAACAACATACTTTGGATAGTGAGGAACGCAGAAATCGAAAACCAAATTCGCTGGGATACCTTCACTGGAACGGCTAAGTTAAATTTCAGTCCAAATGCCCAGTTCTGCTCACTAGCCACAGAATGCTGCTCGCCACACTGATGTGGCAATGTGGCTCATATTCTTGTCCAAGAGATGGCACCCACAAGCTGTCACAACAGTAAGGAGGCAGGCAACGCAGACAAGCCACTGGGCCTGTTTACTGACCCCAGTGGTCCATGTCATGTGACACATGTGGCCTTGAAAATGTCAAGCCACCTAGACTATATTTATTAGTCTATTTTATGTGACCTTGAAAATTGGCCTATGTAACCAGTGCCTGGGGGTGGGGAAATCAGACCATTAATTGAGCTTTTATCCAAAGGAACTCTGTCATGAGACTATTACAAAGTGGATGTTTTGTTCTTGGCCTCATTATCCGATGGGGTGAGTAGCTGGCTTGGGCTGAGACATGGCTCTTGACCATCATGGCAGCTAGATCTTTCATTAAAATATCTAGTTCCCATGTGGCTATAATATTTAGATATTTATGGGGGAAAGATCTCAACCTTCGGCATTTTTACTGTGGCTTCTTGAGTTCAATATGTACTATTTATAAAGAAAACTGTAATATATACAAGGTGAGGTACAGGGTGATTCCAGCCTGTGCTGGGGTTCACCTGCTGCCCCAGCACCTCCCACCCTTTATGACACTCTTTGCCTGGGAATGAACTGCAGGTGTGACTTTAATGAGTCACTGTTAAGAGGCAGAACACATTTCAGATGTCACAATTGTTCTTGCCTTGGATTATAATAATTCATTATAGTCTGAATTATTTATTTTACAAATGTGGAAAAAAAACATTGTCTGGAGAGTGAAGCAGAGAAACAGATGTCCCAGGCTCTCATCCCACACTGGGGAACATCACTGTAGACAGGTGGGTCCAAAAATCTGAGCTGCCTGAATTTCTCAGCTGGGCTTTTGCAGGGAAGCCCTCTGGGGAAAGAGGCGTTATAACCAGTTAGGACTAAATTATTTTCCAGTGAGCGTGGGAGACCTTGGTCTGGACAACAGATAGAAGTCAACAATCTGCAACTCTTGGAGCTAAAATAACATCCTAAATAGACAACACCCTTTCTCAAAAGATGGCCCCAGAAGCTCATTTCTTCATAGACTAATTTTACGTCAGGGGCAATGTCGGACTGTGTCATGGCGTCGGGACTCATAGCTGGGTGTCTGAGAGCATCTTTCGATGGTTCGCCTCTTCCGGTGCTTCACCTCGGCTGCCGGGTTGTTTGTCTTCTCCGCCAGCTGTTCCACTGAAGCTGAGAAGCCAGGCTTCTCCAACTCCAGTTTGCCTCTCCTCATCTAGAAAAACAGGAAGAGCATAGGAGAGCTTTCGGGAGAAACCTTAGGTGTTTAGTATGTTGTCTGTATTTGATGTGCGCAGGTATGCCTGGCTTTAACTGTGTTTTTTAGAGGATGGGAGGTGTGCGGGGAGTGGAGGGAGACTGGGTTGCTTTTTGTGGTGTTCTTGTTGTTGTTTTAACGGAGAACTTTTCCCCATTTGCCCCGTCAGCTGGTCTGACGGATTTAAGAATTTTCATTCTTAAAAGACATTGGATTTCAAGGCTAGAATTTTAGATTAGGACCTTTCTAACTGTGAATAAAGTTCCGGTTCTGTTTGTCCAGCCTGTGTTTCTGATTGCTCGGATTTGAATCCCCAGTAATGTTTTCCTGTGAATATTATAAACTGCAGACCTGGTACTCTAAAAAGTCATCTTTTCAGCAATCCAGAGGTTCCTTGACCTCACACTTGTCCCCCTCCCTTCTCATCTTAAACCTGGACACCGGACCTTTGCGGTGACAACCAAGACTTCAGTGCAGACTTTGCCTCTGGCCCTGGAGCTGTTCTTAGTGCCCGAGAAGCTGCACCCCATCCTGATTCTCTCAGGATCCAAGCTGGGATCTTCTGATAGGCAGTGCCGGTGCTGCTGTGTGGGCTGGCACCTGCAGGCTGCAGAAGAGGCATCCCTTGGAATCCCTTGGGACCCTGAAGGAGCAGGCATCCCCACACCCTGGTCTGTTGTACTGTGCTATTTCAGGGTGGGGAAGTGATGAGCTGCCTTCTGGAGCTCTTCCTAAAATTAAAACAAAGAACCTTACATCTAAATTATGCTTGCTCCTTGGCTCCTTGGCTTAAAAGAAATCCAATGTCTTTTAAGAATGAAAATTCTTAAATCCATCAGACCAGCTGACGGGGCAAATGGGGAAAAGTTCTCCATTAAATTTTCTTCAGAGAAAACCTGTCACCCCAGAGACGCCCATATAAACACGGCTGAGGGAGGAAGCTGTAAGGAGGAAGGACTCATTGGGGTCCCCTGTGAGCTTCGAATGACAGCCCCTTCGGCACAGGGCATCTGAGGCAAGGAAGGAAAGCCTAGTGGCTTTTCTGTGTGTCCGCTTGGAGAAGAGACCTAACGGTGGTGGTTTTCCTCATGCTACCACAGACGATGGAGAAAATGGCACCTCCGCTTGTGACAAGGATGGGAAAAGATGAGCGTGCTTTAGTGTTCAGGAAGGAATTCTGATGGAAGTATTAGACACCGGGTGGGATCCCAGGGCCAACAGAATGTCATTAAAATTTGGGGGGCAGGAGGCCAACTTTCTTTCTGCTCTGTGAATTCACTGAAAACTCTCTCTTCCACCCTTATGGCCTTCTTCTCCCTTCCCTCCCCCTCCGTGTGTGTGTGTGTGTGTGTGTGTGTGTGTGTGTGTGTGTGTGTGTGTGCTTGCTCCCACTGTACATGGTCATAATTAAAATGGTCTTGCGTGGACTGCTCCCACCACACCGACTGCACTGCTCACAACCCACGCCATCCTCCCCTGGCTCTGAGAAGGATGGAAAGAGTGAAGCATCATCTGAGGATCGATTCCCTTTACTCTTGAATAAACTACATTTTTTAGGCCCCTCCCTGGTTTCTCCAGCATCATTTCCCTTGAAATGGGTGTGCCAGTCAAATTCCATGTCAGAGCACTTCCAAGGTCTGAAAAACATCTGCTTCGAGGCCCCTGGGAACCTCCACAGTTCCCAGTCCAGCCAGAGGTGTCCAGAAGCTCGCTTCTGGAAGAACGTGCAGCTTTGCCCCTCTGTCTCAGAGCAGCCTTGAAAACAATCCGTGAGAAAGTATCCCCTCTGGAAGGAAAGCCAGAGTGTGGGACAGACAGGCCAGCCAGAGTTGAGATGTGTGAGTCTGAAGGTTCCAACTGCTAGTCTAAGCCAGCCTGACACCATGAAAACTTGATAGGGATTGTAAGATTGTCCAACCTAACTGTGCAGGGAAAAACCAAAAACAAGCAAATGTGAGGGAACGGGGGCGTACATGAATGAAGAGAAAAGTAGGAGCCAGAAGAGCAAAGTCCTGATGCCCAGAGGGATTCTGGGACAGAAGTACAGGACAAGAGGAGAGGAATGGATGCTAGGCTGTGCTTGGAGGTAGCGACGTTGGTGCTCAGGCTGTGCAGGGAAGGGAACAGGTGGAAACCAGCGGAAGGAGGGGGGTTAACAGAAGTGTTACCAGCCTAGTCCTTAAAGTGACCACGTATCCTTTGAAACCTATCCCAGTGGGAGGGACTGATGGGGTCAGGCCTGTGATGAGATGGTGGGACAGCAATAGCCTGGATTCGGACGTGTGTACGCCTCTGGACAGGGCCTGTGAAGCCAAAGCCCCTTCCTACAGGAGAGATGCAGGGATTGGACTCACAGAAGAGGACCCAGGAGAAAGCGAGGCTTCTATTGAGGGAGGTTCTCTCAGCAGAGGGCATCCGGGAAGGCGGGTGCCCTCACAGGGATACTCGGGCTTAGGGCTCCGGTTGCCTGTCAGAAGCCCCTCACTGCGAAGCTGGAGGCTGTCCAGGGAGTCTGTGCAGAGCCTACGTGAGTCTCTTTGGGTCACAGCCAAGAAACAAGCTGTGGGAGCCCCAGGCCTGCTCCAGCTCCATGAGTCAGTCTTTCCCCAAGCAGGCTAAGATGTTCCCAGGGTGCCGTGCCACACATAGAAGCCCCGCCTCGAACATTTTCCCGTCTCACACCTGGAATTTGGGCTGCTCCCCCATCCAAGAGGGTTGGGGCTTACGTCCCTCGGCTGGCTGAGCCTGTGCACCCCAGCGAAGAGCTGGTAGTAAATGTGCTGTCGCTCAATACGGAATGAACCTCAAGGGGTAGGAAAGCCTGTTAGCTGTGGCTTTCCAGATCCCCTCCCCCACACACACACACACTGCAGTGTTAGCACAATGTCTGACCGCTTTCTCTCGCTCTCTCTGATTGATATATGGGAGTCTGGATCTCCGATTCATGATGTGATATACTAATTATTCAACAAATTACCAAATTTATATATCATAGTGTACATTCTCAGAGAAGATTTTGCTGGAGGCTTGGCTGTTTGCTGTCATATAAATGAGGATCATGGGTGTGTGGGGGGAAAAAACGCAGTCATGTAGAAGGCTGCTTCTATTTCAAATGTGACACCTTGATTTTTCGAGAGGAGGCATGGGAGCAATTCGGAAATAATTTCAACCGTCTCTTGTCTAAGGGGATCTTTCGGGCACTCATTTGTATGCTTGTGTACAAGGCTGGGCCTGTGTCACGCCACACTGTTCTGGTAACACATGGTGGCGGGGCACGATGATGTCTCCTGAGACGCTGTGACAAAGGGCGTGGATCGAAGTCACTGCAGCACAGAGGCTCTCCCAGAAGGGGAGATCCTGCACCAACACCCCCCCCACACACACACACAAGGGGTGGGGGAGGAGGGAGAAGAAAGGGAGGGAAGATGGGGGTGTGGCTTGAATTAGATGCCTCAAACTGCCGATTCAAATGAAGTCCTTCCACACTGGCTACAGGGTCTGGGCAGAAATACTGAGGGCCCACGCTCAACAGTTATTGGCAAATAATGATCTAAAGAGAACTGGCTTGGCTGGGCAGTGATGGTGCGCACGCCTTTAACCCCAGCACGTGGGAGGCAGAGGCAGGTGGATCTCTCTGAGTTCGAGGCCAGCCTGGGCTACAGAGTTCCAGGAAAGGCACCAAAGCTACACAGAGAAACCTTGTCTCAAAAAACAAACAAGAGGAGGAGGAGGAGAAACTGGCTTGGATTTTTCTGCCTTTCAGACAAATTTATATCACTCTTGGATATTCGCTCCTCCTTTTAGCATCTCGTCTTCGGCTTCTCCTCTGGACCATGCAACCCCCTCATAAGTCCTCACCATTTATTCTCAACACTGTCCCTGATGAGTGTAGAACATTCTAGAAAGAGACATCAATGCTCAACAAGTTCTTCAGGTATTTGTATCTTGAACAGAGACACCAGACAGAGCTACGTAGTGATGGGACCATGAATGATGGACACCATGTCAGTCAGAACTGTTATGACTAAAACCATTTTAGAAATCCCTGTGACTTGAAGGGCAAAAAATCAAGCAGGTAGACTTGTAGGCAGGAGGCAGCTGAGCCCCTAGTCACTGCTTGAGGCTTGCCTGGCGTCCGCTGCACTCAAACAAATGAAAAGGAAAAATCTCTGGTTTAGGTTACTGAGATTTCTTTGTGACTTCAGTCTAGTCCAGGTAGCCTAATAAATACTTCCGGTGGCATTTCATTTTAGACATCTCTGAAGGAAAACAGCAATGTAATTAACTTCTTATATTGGAGTTGTAGGCATCTGTAGAGAAAGCCAATTAGTCTCGGGAAACTCCTCCACCCCACTGAGGTCAGAGCAGCCCACAGCACGGCAGCCGCCTACAGCCTTACACTGCGTGAACTTGAACGTGACTCGGAGAAGGCAATCCAAAGACATGATTTCAAGCACAACTCCAAGACTGGTTGGTTTCTACATATGGGGGGTGGGGTGCATGTTCTAGAATGGTTTTGAAAAATTCGTCACAAAGTGCCAGAGGGCATGCCACACTATCAATTCCCTTTAAAAATACCCACTTGGTCCAATTTAGGAACCTGTAGGAAAGTCATTCTGGGTAACAATATGAAAACAACGAGACTGTGTTGTGTGAAGTCAACTGAGATGGGATGCCTTCTGAGAAGACGTTCCCATTCCAGCGAGGGTTTCCTGGCTGAGGGAGCATCACCAAAGGTTTCATAAGTGTCTAGATGCTGGCAGCCCTGCATTTGAGAAAGGCTCTCAGTGAGCTAGCAAGACCTACCTTGAGTCCTCATCCCAGGTTCACACCTCGGAAAGGCAGCCCCACTGCGTGGCTCCTAGGATAAGCAGAGCACCACCATCGACTGGTGTGTCCTGAGCACACCCCCCTCCCTCGAAGCTGACAGCCCTTGCCGGTGGACACAGGCCTCTGCTGCTCCTCCGTTCTCTCCGGCTGATTCACAGAGGGCCTGAGAATGAATGCTGGCAAACCCGGAGCCCGGACCCCACCTAATTAACACTCCAGATACGAGCCCTTTGGGTCTGGCAGCACATGCCAACCAAGTCCCAAACCAGTTTATTAGTTTAACCAAAAGGTAAACAGATGCTGGAGATGCAGAGAGACGAGCGTGCGAGCAGCTGGAAACAACATCCAGCTGTTCACCCAGAAGCAAAGTTAAAACAACTGAAGTGGCATTAAATAAACGAGACCATGTTTTATCCACTTGGGATTCCCATTGTCTTTTTTAAAAAAGGTA